GACGACAGCTTGACAGCAATGGATTGGCTTGTTAATCCCGCTATCGATATTTTCTCAGGATTGAAACTAAATGCTTTTTTGTTTGACCAAGTTTCTCAGTCAGAGACAAGGGACTATATGAGTGAGAACATAAAATCCGAGCCTATCCATCCAGACAAGCCGCCCTATAGTTACGCCGAATTAATAAAGAAGGCGATCGAATCATCTCCGCAGCGTAAAATGACACTTAATGAGATATACGAGTGGATCTGCAAAAATTTCCCTTACTATCGCGAAGGTCAGAATGGATGGAAGGTAAATGATCGTTTCGAGTTGTATCAAAGTCTAGAACTCGATTCGCCACAACCTCTCTCTCAATCGATCATTTCGAAAGGTAGCAAGGCGACCAAATGAACCTGGTAGGGGGTCGTTTTGGCGAATTATCGGTGATAAGAATAAATTTAAGTCCCCTATTTTTACTAGAGCTCAACAGGTAAGTCACAATTTTGCCTAAACATCGAGTTATTCTAATGCGCACAATATTAAAGTTATGTTATAATGTAAGCTTCGTCAGCAAGAGATAAAACTTTTTTGTAATAGGGCAGTCATGAACGACCTAAAACTTTTTATCCTTGTTCTCCCTAGGCGCTCTTGGAAGATAATTATGAGTCTGCTTGATCTTTGGATTGTTAAGAACATTTGAATTTATTTGTAGGTAGATTTAAGTGGCCATTTGACCTGCTATTACGTTAAGTGTCTGTCTTTGTATTGCAAAGTAAGCCTGATGGTCCAAGGAGATAAAAATAATGGATTGTTTTGCATGTTCTCCAACAACTTGAACGATATATCAGTCTGCTGAATTACATTTAATTTTCAGGCATTCATTTGCGCACAAATTAGTATGGAGTTTTTTCTCACTTTCCTCAAAATTGTAGTCCAATTAATTTTGAATGGAATTGTGGTTATTCTTTAATCACATGAGGGTAAAAGGAGGTGATATAAATTTATTTTCTACTTAGAAGGACTAATCAATTGGTGAATTGTAATACTAACGATCGGTTTTTTGTTTTATAAGCAAGATGGCTGCCATATAATGTAGGCA